TCAGTAACCTTCCCACAAGGTCTTTTTTTTTTTGCTCATCTTTTTTATTTAAATATTCTCGACTGTAATTCGGTTATTAAGGACACAATGTACGTCTTCTGTAACATGAAGAGTCCTATAACTCATAAAATTTATAGTACAATTTATTGTTATACAAACATATGCATTTCCCTATATATAATATTATATATATATATATATATATATATATATATATATATATATATATATATATATATATATATATATATATATATATATTTATGTGTGTGTGTGTGTGTGTGTGTGTGTGTGTGTGTGTGTGTGTGTGTGTGTATAAATGTATCTATAATGTGTACACTCTTCTGGGTAGTGCAACGCGCGGGGAGCCCTTTGAGTTCCGGCTGGGGTCTGGACAGGTGATCAAGGGCTGGGACCTTGGTCTGGAGGGTATGTGTGTGAGTGAGCGACGCAGACTTACCATACCACCTAACCTGGCTTATGGCAAGAAGGGCGCAGGAGGAGTCATACCCCCAGGTGAGGCGCTTATTTTAACCAGGTGAGGTGATCAGACACATCAGGTGAGTAAGGTGCTCAGTCACCCCAGGTGTTTAGGAAAGAATTCAATCATTTAAAGTGCACCAGACCCAAAAGGACACCGACTGCTGTGTACTTCACCCCTCTGCCCCCACCCCTCCACACATAATCGAATAACTGCTGCAGGAAATGCGTGTCTGGCGAATCAAAGACTGTGAGAAATTTAAATAAGGTATCACTCACGGCGCTGTATATGGTGTAGGTCAGGCCCATACCGGAGTATGCAGCACCATTATGGAACCCACACCTGGTCAGGCATATCAAGAAATTGGAGAAAGTACAGAGGTTTACAACAAGATTAGTTCTGGAGTTAAAGGGTATGTCCTATGAGGAGAAAAAGGGAACTCAAACGAATAGGGATGCTTTGAAAATAACGTTCAGAATAATGAAAATAACTGAGAGGGTGGACAGGCGCAGATTGTTTGAGAGACGGGAAACATGAACACAAGGGCACAGCTGGAAGCTGTAAACACAGATGAGTCACAGGAAGGTTAGGAAATATTCCTTAAGTTTTAGAATAGTCAGGAAGTGGGATGACCTAGAAATTGAAGTGTTAGAGGCAAGATTCATACATAACTTTAAGAAGAGGTATGCTAAAGCTCTCGAAGCCAGGAGAAAAATGAACCCAGTAGCGGCCAGTGAGCACGCGGGACCAGGAACCTGCAACCATATATATGAGAGTACACACACACACACACACACACACACACTTGGAGCCACATGGGGGCCAAAATACATGGAGGGCTAAGATGATGGAGGTAGTACTGGAAAACTTCATGTACCAACACGTAAGGGACACTACAAGAGAGAGGAGAGGATGAACCAGCAAGACTGGACCTAGTATTCACCTTGAGTAGTGCAGATATTGAGGACATCACATATGAAAGACCCCTTGGGGCCAGCGATCATGTGGTTTTAAGCTTCGAATACACAGTAGAGCTACAAGTGGAGAGGGAAGCAGGAAGGCCAGGGCGAATGAAGCCAAACTACAAGAAAGGGGACTACATGGGAATGAGGAACTTCCTGAACGGGGTTCAGTGGGACAGAGAACTGGCAGGGAAGCCTGTTAATGAGATGATGGAATATGTAACAACAATGTGCAAGGAGGCTGAGGAGAGGTTTGTATCCAAGGGTAACAGGAATCATGAAAAAGCCAGGATGAGCCCAGGGTTCACCCAAAGGTACAGGGAGGCAAAAACCAAGTGTGCTAGGGAATGGAAGAAGTATAGAAGGCAAAGGACCCAGGAGACTAAGGAGAGCAGTCGTAGAGCCAGAAATGAATATGCACATTTATGAAGGGAGGCCCAACGACAATATGAAAACGACATAGCAGCGAAAGCCAAATCTGACCCAAAGCTGTTATACAGCCACATCAGGAGGAAAACAACAGTCAAGGACCAGGTAATCAGGTTAAGGAAGGAAGGAGGAGAGACAACAAGAAATGACTGTGAAGTGAGGAACTCAACAAGAGACTCAAAGACGTGCTCACAGAGGAGACAGAAGGGGCTCCAGAAAGACTGAGAGGTGGGGTACACCACAAAGTGCTGGAAATAGTACACACAACCGAGGAAGAAGTGAAGAGGCTTCTGAGTGAGCTAGATACCACAAGGGCAATGGGGCCAGATAACATCTCTCCATGGGTCCTGAGAGAGGGAGCAGAGGTGGTATGCGTACCCCTAACAACAATATTCAATACATCTATCAAAACAGGGAGATTGCCTGAGGCATGGAAGACAGCAAATGTAGTCCCAATCTTTAAAAAAGACAGACATGAAGCACTAAACTACAGACCGGTGTCACTGACATGTATAGTATGCAAAGTCATGGAAAAGATTATCAGGAGAAGAGTGGTGGAACACCTAGAAAGGAATGATCTCATCAACAGCAGCCAACATGGTTTCAGGAATGGGAAATCCTGTGTCACAAACCTACTGGAGTTCTATGACAGGGTGACAGCAGTAAGACAAGAGAGACGAGTGGGTGGATTGCATTTTCTTGGACTGCAAGGGTGTTTGACACAGTTCCACACAAGAGATTAGTGCAAAAACTGGAGGACCAAGCAGGGATAACAGGGAAGGCACTACAATGGATCAGGGAATACTTGTCAGGAAGACAGCAGCGAGTCATGGTACGTGGCGAGGTGTCAGAGTGGGCACCTGTGACCAGCAGGGTCCCACAGGGGTCAGTTCTAGGACCAGTGCTGTTTCTGGTATTTGTGAAAGACATGACGGAAGGAATAGACTCCGAAGTGTCCCTGTTTGCAGATGACATGAAGTTGATGAGAAGAATTCATTCGATCGAAGACCAGGCAGAAGTACAAATGGATCTGGACAGGCTGCAGACCTGGTCCAGCAATTGGCTCCTGGAGTTCAACCCCATCAAGTGCAAAGTCATGAAGATTGGAGAAGGGCAAAGAGGACCGCAGACGGAGTACAGTCTAGGGGGGCCAGAGACTACAAACCTCACTCAAGGAAAAAGATCTTGGGATGAGTATAACACCAGGCACATCTCCTGAAGTGCACATCAACCAAATAACTGCTGGAGCATATGGGCACCTAGCAAAAATCAGAACAGCATTCCGACATCCTAATAAGGAATCGTTCAGGACCCTGTACACCGTGTATGTTAGGTCCACATTGGAGTATGCGGCACCAGTTTGGAACCCAGACCTGGCCAAGCACGTAAAGAAACTAAGAGAAAGTGGTTTGCAACAAGACTAGTCCCAGAGCTAAGGGGTATGTCCTACGAGGAGAGGTTAAGGGAAATCGACCTGACGACACTGGAGGACAGGAGAGATAGGGGTCACATGATAACGACATACAAAATACTGAGAGGAATTGACAAGGTGGACAAAGACAGGATGTTCTGAGATGGGACACAGCAACAAGGGGACACAGTTGGAAGTTGAAGACACAGATGAATCATAGGGATGTTAGGAAGTATTTCTTCAGCCACATAGTAGTCAGGAAGTGGAATAGTTTGGGAAGCGATGTAGTGGAGGCAGGATCCATACATAGCTTTAAGCAGAGGTATGATAAAGCTCACGGTTCAGGGAGAGTGACCTAGTAGCGACCAGTGAAGATGCGGGGCCAGGAGCTAGTACTCGACCCATGCAACCTCAACTAGGTGAGTACAGCTAGATGAGTACACATACACACACACACACACACACACACACACACACACACACACACACACACACACACACACACACACACACACACACAGGAAGTGGAATAGCCTAGCAAGTGAAGTAGTGGAGGCAGGAACCATACATAGTTTTAAGAAGAGGTATGGCAAAGCTCAGGAAGCAGAGAGGGAGAGGACCTAGTAGCGATCAGTGAAGAGGCGGGGCCAGGAGCTGAGTCTCGACTCTTGCAACCACAATTAGGTGAGTACAATTGAGTACATACACACACACATACATGCATACAATTAAAAGCTGAAGACTCAGATGAATCACAGGGATGTTAGGAAGTATTTCTTCAGTCATACAGTTGTCAGGAAGTGGAATAGTCTGGAAAGTGATATAGTGGAGGCAGGGTGTGAGTGACCCAGTAGCGACCAGTGAAGATGCGGGGCCAGGAGCTTTGAATCGACCCCTGAAACCACAATTAGATGAGTACAATTAGGTGAGTACACACACACACACACACACACATATGTATGTATATATATATATATATATATATATATATATATATATATATATATATATATATATATATATATATATATATATATATATATATATATATATATATGCAATAAGATCACAGTAAACAGGTGATTTCAGAATATGCAAAACAACCACTCTGAAAGAATAGAGAAATTCCAAGCGCTTTCGTGACTACTCACATTATCAAGGAACTATGAAAGTAAAGCATCCAAGGAAGGTATATAAGGGGTCTGGCCAACACCTCACTTTCAGATCCCACAACAGTTAAACACCTGACGCGCGCCGGCCCAACTGGACAGGTCCTTCGCACAACCCACCAACAAACTATTCTACCCAAGAAAATTTAAAAATTATTATTTGTCCAGTGTATTATTAAATTCTTCCCAAATTCTATTAATTATAAATGGATCTAATTTATATAAACCAAAGGAAATATTCATATTATTGTCAAAACTGCTTTTTATGAAACAAGATTCAATTATATTCCTGTCGACCATGGACTTGCTTGATACTACTTTCTCAACTTTTTGAAAATCAATTGGATGGTTAAAATCTCTTACATGAATAAATAGAGCATTGGAATCTTGTCCAGAAAGCGCTTGGAATTTCTCTATTCTTTCAGAGTGGTTGTTTTGCATATATATATATATATATATATATATATATATATATATATATATATATATATATATATATGTCGTGCCGAATAGGTAAAACTGATCAATTAGCAAGAACTCATTTAAAATTAAGTCCTTTCTAAAATTTTCTCTAATACATTTAAAGATATATTTTTTCGTTTATGTTAATATAAAAATTAGTGATTTTGCACCAAAAGAACCTTAGGAAACTTACCCAACCTTATTATAACAAGTGCAAATTAATTTAGCCTAATTCAACTAAATATATTTTATATACGTTTACAATAATTTAATAAAGAAACACAGTTAAATATATTATTTTCGTTAGGTTCAGAATGATTTTTGCGAAATTATTGCATACATAAATTGTCGCTTGCCCTATTTGGTAAGAAGATCGTTGTTATTTAAGCCAAAATCGCAAGATTTACTTATTCGACAATTCCACACTAGGCTACCTTTACCCCATTATTACTGTATTCATGATATTAATTCCTTGCTAAACCTGTACAGGTTATTTTTATTGTTCAATTCATAAAAACGTTAAACTCGTTAGGGCAGTTCTGCTCCTGGTAAATGAAAGGTAATAAAATTTGACCCGAGGAAGGAGAGGGGTAACTAATTCCTTGGATTAAGAGTCCTTTAACAGTACTAAAGTAAAACAATTTTTCACCTCTTGTAGACGCCACACTGATCTTCGAGGTGGAGCTGGTGCAGCTGCCAGATAAGGTGGTGATAGTGGACGAGGAACCTGAGCGTCGACCAGCACCTACACCAGAGGTCTCCACATCTCCCACCAAGCTGGTGTCACAGACATTAGTGCGACCTGCAACATGCTCTAGTCTGGCCACCACTGGTGATACAGTCAGTGTCCACTACACTGGTCAGCTCATAGATGCCAAGAAATTTGACTCTAGGTACTTGTTTGATTTTTTTTAACACACTGGCCGTTTCCCACAGATGTAGGTAACAGCTCTTAGTTTGTAAATAAAGTTAGGAATCTTAACTTAACCTTTTGTAAAGAGGAAGGAAGGGCGACCCTAAGAAAGAAATAACACTTTCACCATTACTCAGTGCATCACTGTCTTGCCAGAGGCGCGCCGATATTACAGTTCAGATTCCCCTCCAAACTGCAAATATCCTCACCCCTCCTTCAGAGTGAAAGCACTGTACTTTCACCTCCAAGACTCAAGTCCAGCCTGCCGGTTTCCCTGAATCCCTTCATAAATGTTACCTTGCCCACTCTAACAGCACGTCAAGTCATACATACCACTTACTTTAACTCATTAATATCTAAAACGTTCACACGTGCATTTTTTTATTATTAACATAGATTTTTACGCAACAATTATTTTGACTCATTTGCTATTAACACCCGTTAGATAATCAGAGGCAGCAGGTACAGAGGGATGATCAGGGGCAGCAGGTACAGAGGGATGATCAGGGGCAGCAGGTACAGAGGGATGATCAGGGGCAGCAGGTACAGAGGGATGATCAGAGGCAGCAGGTACAGAGGGATGATCAGGGGCAGCAGGTACAGAGGGATGATCAGGGGCAGCAGGTACAGAGGGATGATCAAGGGCAGCAGGTACAGAGGGAGTTGGATAGTTAGTTGGGATTTAAAGTCTATCGACTATACCAGGGTCACTGAGGCTGCGTTTGTCCAGTTCGCCACTAATAAAAGATACCTTAATCTCTCGAGTAGATTTTAAACTCATGTTGTATATGTGCAAAGAGACATCCAGTACACCTTTCTCTTTATATATCATTTTATAATGAATACAGTTTAGTAGCGCACTTGACTGGCTACTAGTAGACGGAGGATTGAGCCTCCAATATTTCTCTTGCCAAATGCCTCATACGGATTTAGCGTTTCGCATAACTAACAAATCAGTCTTTACTCCTGCTTCTCCTGTTCACATAGCAGTAACTAGGAACCACTTTACTGTTATGGTCGCATCCTGGGAAACGTTCAAATGCAAATTCCGAAGATGTGACACCACGTGCATTGCTCTGCTAATATACCTGTAAATAAGTAATAACAACCTATAGGACGTTCCCATCTCTAACCGAACGAGAACGTGTTTATAGTTATGTGCATATTTATGTGCATAGGCGTTCATGAAGTGATAACACGAGTAAAGATACATGTTTATGTCCAATTATGTTTGTGTCCCCTAATGTGTGGGAGTATGTACATACATGCGAATGTTATTACATGTGTTGGCGGTGTTGTGTGAGGATGAAGCAGCTTACTCCAGCACGGTGAGACATATAGGAACAACTGCTGCCTATATTATCCTAGCAGTAAATGGATTTAGTAGAATGTTGAGGGTTGCATTCTTATTTCTTGGTTTTCTTCTGATATCCTAGGTTACTAACCTTCAAGGGCTACTAATCCTAATAAGGTCTTCTACACGCCGGTGACACGTTTATTACCTTCCAGCCTGGATCGTGGGGAGCCCTTCGTGTTTAAGCTCGGGGAGGGCGCAGTGATCCGTGGGTGGGAGGAAGGTGTAGCTGGTATGTGTGTTGGAGAGAGTCGTCTACTGGTAGTTCCACCTCACCTGGCGTATGGCAAGAGAGGCGTCGGAAATGTTATACCCCCAGGTGAGTGCATACTCAATGATTTATTAGTCAGAGGAAACTCACTAACACGAAGCTTAGTAGTAAGTTGGTCAGTTTACAGGGACCGGTCCGGTGGCTGGGGTACGGCCGTGTTCAACACTACTTTACAGCTCAAATTCTCATATCGATAACTTAGTGGTGCTCACTGAGCTGTGTTTTCTAGAGTTGATACTCAGCTACTGGCCCCTTAATTTACTGGTTCCTGAGCTTATTAAATCCCTGTCACATTATCGTTTGAGACTGTATCTGAAGTTTGATTCATCCACCTCACACACACACACACACACACACACACACACACACACACGATGTGAAGTTAATGAGAAAAATCAAATCGGACGAGCATCAGGCAGGACTACAAAGAGACCTGGACAGCTACAAGCCTGGTCCAGCAACTACCTCCTTGAGTTTAACCCTGCCAAATGCAAAGTCATGAAGATTGGGGAAGGGCAAAGAAGACCGCAGACACAATATAGTCTAGCTGGCCAAAGACTGCAAACCTCACTCAAGGAAAAAGATCTGGGGGTGAGTATAACACCGAGCATATTTCCTGAGGCGCACATCAATCGGATAACTGCTGCAGCATACGGGCGTCTGGCAAACCAACGGATAGCATTCCGATACCTCAGTAAGGAATCGTTCAAGACTCTGTATACCATTTACGTCAGGCCCATACTGGAGTATGCAGCACCAGTTTGGAATCCACACCTGGTCAAGCACGTCAAAAAATTAGAGAAAGTGCAAAGGTTTGCAACAAGACTAGTCCCAGAGATAAGGGGATTGTCCTACGAAGAAAGGTTGAGGGAAATCGGCCTGACGACACTGGAGGATAGGAGGGTCAGGGGAGACATGATAACGACATATAAAATACTGCGTGGAATAGACAAGGTGGACAAAGACGGGATGTTCCAGAGATGGGACACAGAAACAAGAGGTCACAATTGGAAGCTGAAGACTCAGATGAATCAAAGGGATGTTAGAAAGTATTTCTTCAGTCATAGAGTAGTCAGGCCGTGGAATAGCCTAGAAAGTGACGTAGTGGAGGCGGGAACCATACATAGTTTTAAGGCGAGGTATGATAAAGCTCCTGGAGCAGGGAGAGAGAGAGAGGACCTAGTAGCAATCAGTGAAGAGGCGGGGCCAGGAGCTATGACTCGACCCCTGCAACCACAAATAGGTGAGTGCAAATAGATGAGTACACACACACACACACACACACACACCACACACACACACACACAACACAAAATATATATATATATATATATATATATATATATATAATATATATTATATATATAATATATATGTCGTGCCGAATATGTAAAACTGGTCAATTAGCAAGAACTCATTTAAAATTAAGCCCTTTCTGAAATTTTCTCTTATATGTTTAAAGATATATTTTTTTCATTAATGTTAATGTAAAAAAATTTAATTTTGCTCCAAAAGAATCTTAGAAAACTTACCTAACCTTATTATAACAAGAACAATATATTTTAGCCTAACCCAACTAAATATATTTTAGATTTGTTTACAATAATTTAATATTAAACAAACACAGTGAAATATATTTTTTTCGTTAGGTTCAGAATGATTTTGGCGAAATTATTGCATACACAAATTTTCGCTTGTCCTATATGGCAAGATGAGCGTTGCTATTTATGCCAAGATCGCAAGTTCTGCCTATTCGGCACGACATATATATATATATATATATATATATATATATATATATATATATATATATATATATATATATATATATGCAAGGAATTCGCGAGAGCAGGCGAAATATACACAAACACTGATCTCTGGCTGAAGGAGACTCGAACCTACGAACCTTAGGACAAAGTACGCAGTGTTTTACCAATCTACCCACACTGGACAATACCTCCCTAGTTAAGAACGATAATAAATTTGTTGAGTTAGGCATAAGAATTAACAACTGGGCGTCTACACTGCAAACTGAATTGTTTGCAATCCTAATGGCGCTAAAGCTAACCTATGACACTGAGCTTGACTCTATCATCATTACTGATTCTATGTCATCATTGAAGGCTCTTGGCTCATATAATGACTCCAACAACATGCTCATTGGGGAAGCCAGGTATAGATACTCAAAAATTAGGGACAAAGGAATTAATGTACAATTGCTATGGATCCCATCACACATTGGATTACGCCTTCATGATAAAGTTGATATGTTAGCCAAGAAGAGTATCCAGAAGGAGAACGTAGAATATAACTTTGGTATAACTGTGTCTAGCATTAGGAATAATATTAGGAGAGAAGTAAATAATGCAGTTAGAAGCCTGAGTAGATCTATAACCCACTATGATAACATGAACGTAGATAAGTATGTTTATGGAGCAACTTGCAATGTGAACAGACTGACTGATGTTGTAGTGGCCAGGCTTAGGCTTGGTTACAAGTACTTCTGGCAGTTTGGGAGACACACAGATGATGATCAAACTAAATGTAAATTATGTGATCAGGCATATGGTCACTCTCTTGAACACTATGTGCTTAATTGTCCACTTATTGAGGAATACAGAGACAGACAGTATAATAACCTATGTGACATGTCAAGATATCTTATTAATGAAAATAAGATACCAGATATACTAAGCAAATTTCCTAAATTTGCTTGTAACAGATAAGTGAACTATAGATATGTAGATATAAATCCATATGTATTCCTGTTAACCCTTTGGGGCCTAGTTCCTAGGCCTTTTGTGTATCCACATGCTCTCGCGCTACCGTCCACAGGATGGATATGGGGTGCACAATAAACTAAGATAAGATAAGATAAGATTTCGTTCGGATTTTTAACCCCGGAGGGTTAGCCACCCAGGATAACCCAAGAAAGTCAGTGCGTCATCGAGGACTGTCTAACTTATTTCCATTGGGGTCCTTAATCTTGTCCCCCAGGATGCGACCCACACCAGTCGACTAACACCCAGGTACCTATTTGCTGCTAGGTGAACAGGACAACAGGTGTAAGGAAACGTGTCGAAATGTTTCCACCCGCCGGGAATCGAACCCGGGCCCTCCGTGTGTGAGGCGGGAGCTTTAGCCACCAGGCCACCGGGCCACTTCGGTGGCAAAATCTAATCTAAATCTAATCTCCTTGGCGTGTAGCTTGTGCTACACGCCTGCTCTCGCGAATTCCTTGCATTGTTAAAATCTCTAGTAAGGCTGATGCATGCAGGGGAGTAGATGAAAAGCTGTAAGCTGTAAGCTGTAAGCGTGTAGCTCAAGCTACACGCCAAAGTATTGTCCAGTGTGGGTAGATTGGTAAAGCACTGCGTACCTTGTCCTAAGGTTCGTAGGTTCTAGCCTCCTTCAGCCAGAGATCAGTGTTTATATATATATATATATATATATATATATATATATATATATATATATATATATATATATATATATATACAAAATAACCCCGGGGGGGGGGAGGTGAATGATAGCTATAGGCCTTTCGCGTTATAATTAATACATCATCTGGAGCTTGAAACGTTGCAGAAAAGAAGAGGTCCAAGCAAACACAATTAGAGGCAGCATCTTTGTTTGAATAAGGCAGAGGCTGGAGGCAGGAAGTGCCCCCAGCCTTACTAATACCCGTAGCCAGAAAGATTGAATATTATAGAATTAGAAGCCAGCTCTTCCACAAGTACTGATATTGTAGCAGTAAACTAACGAAATAACGTGACAATTATCAAAAATTCCGTCGGGCTACGATATGATATAAATTATTTTTCATACCAAATATAGATATCACTGGCAATTGTCTTAAGAATTTCCACACCTCTAGAAAACGGGTCCATTTAAAGGGATACATCTGTGATTTATCCAAAGACAGACATAGTTTATCTATCCCACAACATTCTGAGGCAGATGTTGGATGTGATATAAATGACTTTACATTCCAAACGTAGATATCACTGGCAATCATCTTAATGAATTTCCGTATTTCTAGAAAATGGGCCCATTTAAAGGCCTGGACAGAACATTGTAGAATAAGCAATTATAAAACATGATAGGCATTCATTATACAATAACGGTGGCGGCTTGTTCAAATTATATTCGTTTATAGTTGAGGCATTTGTACACAGCCAAAAATCTAACTCTTAAACGAGTGTGTTGGATTGTGTTAAGTGTATTTCTACACCAAGGAATTAGGGCCTGTTTCTACTGCTTGTTTTGTTGATGGTTAGGCCAGCATCTGCCTCAGAATCTTGTGGGATAAACTATGGCCGTTTTCCTTTGGATAAATTACATTTGTCTCACTTTAAATGAGTCTCTTTAAATGAGCCCGTTTTCTAGAGATGCGGAAATTCCTAAGACAGTTGTCAGTGATCTCTGTATCCAGTATGTAAACTTATTTATATCATATCGTAGTCTGACCGAATTTTTGATAACTGTCATATTACGTTCTTTAGTTTACTGCTACAATATCAGTGCTTGTGGGATGGCTGTCTTCTTATTCTATAATATTCAATCTTTCTGGCTATGGGTACTGGTATACCTTGGTGCACTTACTGCCTCTCTGCCTCATTCCAGCAAAGACGCTTTTACTGGTTGCATTTACATGGACCTCCTGCTCTTTTCTGCAACATTGCAAGCTCCTGATGTGTTGATTGCAACACAAAAGGTCTAGAGCTATCATTCAACTCCTCCCATGGTTGTTTTGCATCCTTGACCGGTTTCAAACGGATTCGTTGAACAATAAAGCAGACTGTAAACAGACGGGGTTTTAGGCGCCCTTACCAAACACAAACAATGAATATAAAACAGAAACATACACTGGTATACTGTCCTAGTATACAAGTACAGTTAGAAATACAAATACAAATAGCCAGATCTTCACTTTAAAGAGGTTATTAGTAGAATATTCAAGGGGCTACTAGTAGAATTATAGTAAATCAACCATTCAAATCACATGAAGCTCTGTGTAGTCTGCAGTACATCAAACAAACGGGCTT